TCGTATACTGACATTGTTGCAGTGAAAGTCCGGGTGGAGTATGCGTGATGAGGCATACCGCGTGAAAATGTCATATGGAGAGCGTGGAGGGCGAGAGAGCAAATGGATCCATGGTGGGGGCGCGGTTGGAGAAAGCGGTGCATCAAAAAGGGGGGATAACTCGTCAAGGGTGGTTAAACTAGCAGCTGCCAAATTTTGAAAAAGTCGGGTGATGATGAGGCTAGAAATGCCAGCGCCAGCAAGTTCACAAAGGTATCGATATGCTAACGGGCCAATAGTATCATCTATGCTGCGGCTAACGAGATTAATTTGGGTGTCAAAATGGATTTGAAGAGCCATGTTTATAGTTATCAGGTGGTCTCGGACGCCCGTGAAAACAGGACTGAAGTGCGATTCATTCCATTCGGCTGTTTGGAGCCCAGTTGGTGAGAATGGAGACAGTCCATGGAGGGTGGTGTATTTAAGATGTGTGTAGGAGATTTGCGAGGTTACTCGACATGGTTGATCGACAGCTTGTAAACAATTTTGCATGAATTCCGCGCGGACAATGTTCTGGAGGTTTGAAATGTTGAGAAGTCCTTGACTGATTAGAAGGTCTGTTGAGGTCGAGGCCGCTAGATGCGCTAATCGCTTCACAACTTTGTTGCAGCTGATCTGAAATTTATTGAGATATTTGGGGGGAAATTTGATTAAATACATACGGTATCGTAGTTTGGAAATAAGATCAGAGTTGACATAAGAGACCGCTTCCTGGATACTGATGGCTGTTTTGCCGTAGTAGCTTAAGCAGGCTTCTTCGAGTTTGCGAGCCATGACATCACATTGGTACTTGAAATCGAGATGCATATTGACAAAGTAACCAAGGTACTTGTAAGATGTACGGCCGTGAAATGTGGGGATGTTTCCCCAGCGGCAGGATGCCAGAGGTGGTCGGTAAGTAGGATTTTCGGTGCGATATTGATAAGCACATTTTAACGGGTTTAGTTCCATGCCATAGTATAAGAGGAAGCGGGTGAGCATGTCTAAAAGCTGTTGGGCCTCGTCGTGCGATCGTCCAATAAGAGCCATGTCGTCAGCGTAGCCGTTGACAGGGGTTTGAATGGACAATATGGGCGACGCGCCGGTAGCACTGGTCATATCGTAACCTAGTTCTGTCGAGCGCAGCCAATGAAAATACATATTGAGAACCAAACAGAAGAGAGTGGGGCTGAGGCAGTCGCCTTCATGTACCCCGTTGACTTTGGGTTTGGGTGATGAGTAGCCTGTGGGACCTTTAGCGACACATGTAAAGTCTGTTTGCATGTCAATAATAAGTCGGAGTAGGCTATTATCGAGACCCATTACAGTAAGTGCATCTGTGAACGCTTGATAAGGTACACTAGGAAAGGCTCCTTTGATATCCGTGTAAATGATGTGCAGTGGACGTTTGTGTAATTTAGCGTCAGCAATGATATTCATAACAACTGCAGCCTTATGAGCAGCATGAATGCCCTTGCGATTGGCACCTTGATTGC